CATGTACTGTTCCGGATTCAATCATGAATCTCGGTCTGTTCGTCACCGGCGTGATGGCAGCATCAGCCGGGTCGGATCGTGCAGCGCCACAGGGGCGCTGCGCGCGCATGCCCGATCGCAACGCGAGGCGACGGCGCTTCTTCACGCTCGTTTCCGGAGCTTTTTCGCTCATGGCTACGGTACGAAGTACACGCGTCGTGCAGTGCAAAAGATTCTCAAGTGCTATAGTGGACTTTCTTCATCACGGATAGACTCAGTGTGGACACGTAGTGAACTCAGCAGTGCGATTCAACCAGGACAGCTCGGGATACAGCATCACCGGCAGCTCAAGCTCACCACGCATCGCACGCCGGCGTCGCGTGGACACGGCTCACGGGCATCCGCAATCACGAGGCCGGTCATCGATTAATATAATCGACCCGTGCAAGTGACACAGAGACTGATCATCTCCATTAAAACCTAGACTGCTCAAACTGTAAGCTTTTACATGTATTAAACGGACCACGGTATTTTACACAATCGATTCGAGTTACGATCACGTGATTTCTAACCTCTCACGCGTACATCCGTTCCCCGATTCTCTCGCCGCAAAGTCCTCTCAGCCCTGCTTCCAACCGCAGCGGTCCAGCGAGCTCTCCCAAAAGAGAGTCGCGAACATTTTTTGGTCCTTCGAGCCGGATGCGGCGAGGCTCTCGGACGGATTAGCTCAACACGCAACTATCACGTGATCGTCGGCGCGCACAGATACGGTCCGACGCAGCGACCAAGTACTCTCACGGCCCTTCCGCGTGATCGGCGACGCGCACGTATTCGGTCCCTCGCATTGATCACGTGATCTCACGATTTTCTCGCGTGACATCTCATCGGTGACGGCTCAACTCTCCTCCGGAGAATCCAAATTCTCTTCGGCCGACGAGACGTCTCATCCTTCTCGCTCTCACGATGGCGGACGAGAACAAGACGGGCAAGACGGAATGCCCGAAAACCCCGGTGTTGGAGGTGCCACAGGGAGACCGCACGTCGGGGAGGACGGCGTCTCCTGCCCGGCTAGCACCGGAGCTCGCGTTGAAGGCTCGGACTCAGATGGGCCGGATTACGCTACTCAAGGAGCTCATTGACTCCCTGCCGGTTGTCCCAGCGGAGACCTCGCTCGAGGAGGTCTCTCAGTTTCAGCAGCAGGTCGAGGAAACGCACAAGGCCTTCATCAAGGAACACGCCTACCTTCAGGTCTCCTGGCCGGCCGCGTTCATCAACGATGAGTATTTCTCAGGGAATGCTCACCTCGACGAGTCGCGGTGCTACCTGCAGGCGCGACGGATCATAGGCGTGCTCCGCCACGCACTGACAGCTCAGTCCGCTCAACCGGAGACCAGCTCATCGTCCGGCGAGACCAGACAGACGCACTCACGCTTGCCGGACATCTCACTCCCCAAGTTTACTGGGGAGTATGCCGCGTGGCCTGCGTTCAGAGATCTCTTCGCCAGCCTGATCATGAACAACGAGCAGCTCACGAACGTCGAGCGACTTCACTACCTCCGTTCGTCGGTGGAAGGCGCGCCAGCTCAGCTGATCGCAGGTTTTCTCATGTCTGGAGACTCGCTCATGCCGTCCTGGGAGTTACTCAAGGAGCGGTATGAGAACAAACGCCTGCTCATACAAGCCTGCCTTGACAAATTATTCGTCAGCTCGACCCCGGTGCCAAGGAAGGCGGCGTCCCTGGATCGGCTGGTTTCGGGAGTCACGGAGGCGCTCAAGGGACTGGAGGCCCTCGAAGTTACGGACAAGCTCGGGGATTGCGCGGTCGTCTATCACGTCACGCGACTCTTGGATCGCGTGACACACGAGCAGTGGGAGAGCTCTATTGGCGCTACGCGTGACTACCCCACGTTCGAGAAGCTCAAGGAGTTTCTAACGACGAAAATACGGGCTCTCGAGCGAATAGAATCATCGACAGCTCATTCTGGTCCCCGCGGAGCATCCTCACCACCGAAGAAGACGACAGCTCACCAGGCTACTCATCAGTCTGCTCATCAGGTCGACACATCATACCCGTGCGACTGCTGCGGAGCGCAGCATTTTATAGTGATGTGTAGCAAATTCCGGGCGCTACCACCATCCGAGCGGCACACGGTGGCGATACAGAAGCGGTTGTGCTTCAATTGCCTGGGGCGTCATGGTGTGCGCGCATGTAAGTCTCAACGAGGATGTAAGACCTGCTCGGGCCGGCACCACACAATGCTGCACGGTACACAGACATCCTCATCGGCAGCTCAGAAGTCCGGGGGGTCATCGGCCACGCCCGAACACT